GCCCGCACTGAAAAGTGCTGCGCGCGCCTGCATGTGCGCATGGAGGCCACGTGTGTGCGCGCCTCTGTGTGTACACCAAGGGCCAACTGAATGCATATCTGTGTGCATGCGCAGGGAATAGAGGGCCACGTGTTTGCCTGTGTGTGTGTGTGTGTGTGTGTGTGTGTGTGTGATACCTGCCAACGGAGAAAGATCTGTGGTGTGTGCCATACCTGCAGGTACACATAGAAGAGTAACGTGGGCACACCTGTGTATATGCAGATAGTATAGCTGTATACACGTGCATATGCAGAGTATGAGTCGGGCGTGCACGCCTGAACATGTATACAGAAAACCCTCTGTACATACAACTATGTATATTTGTGTTTAATGTCTGCACAGAATACAGGTATGTGTGTACGAATAGAGGGGCCAGCTATGTGCGCATGAGGAAAAAGAGGTCAGTTGTAGGAGTGCCTTAACGTACCTGTATGTGCACCCCCAGCAGAGGAGTTTTGTACATTTACACAGGCCATAGTGAAGACTGTTGGGATGCACACACGTATTGGACACTGCAGAGACATAGAGAGCCTGCCACTATTCAGCTATTGACGTCCACAGCCACATGGCCTGAACTTGGGTTGTCAGTGATTCAGGGCAGGAAGCATCCTGAAAGGGTGTTTGCTCCTGTCATTTCAGAGTCTGTAGGCTTCATCCCAGGAGGGGTCTGGTAGACCCTGAGGCCTGAAGACAGTCCACATTGGAGACCTCTACCTTAGGACTAAAGCTGGAGAGCCTGGGGAGAGAATAGGCTAGGCCTCCCAAATCAGTCCAAATGGTTTGGGTAAAGTGACCCAGCTTTGCCCAACAATATATGGCTCAAGAGTAGAGTGCTGTTAAATGCTATCAGAGAACTGTGGATGTGAGTGACGGGATGTTTAGTGTAAGCACCCTTTACATGGTTGTCTTTCCTTTAAATAAGCTAAGATGTTGAGGGACAGGCCAATTTGACTCCCAGATTGACACATCCTTCTCTGTTGCCTAGCTGCCTTGGCCATAGGACTCAGCCAAACAGCCCTTCCTTCTTTAGCATCTGACTGGACCATCCTGGCCGCTATCCTGTTCTGAGCACTCCTTAGATGCCATGAGGAAGCTATACTGCAAACCACAGCTGCTTATGCTAAAGCAAAACCATGATTCCAGAAGGCAATATTCAAGGTATGGTTATTTCAATAACTTGCATCAGACTCCTTCCATCACAAGCCTTGGTAAACCCTAGTGACCATTTTCAACCAGGACACGGGTTGGGGGATGTGGGGGAATATTTCCTCTAGTGGCCCAGGGAAGGACTGTGACTGGTGCCAACATCCTTGCCACGCCTCATTCCTGACTATATAAACAAGCTATTTGGCTCACTTTTTCAGTGGGTTGGGTAAGTCCTTTGTCCAATAAAGACGTCTCTGGAGTGATCATGCACGTTTTTTTTTATTATTTTTATAAGCTAGACTGGTAATATGATGACATAAGCCATAAGCACCAATGGAGCACTAGTAGCCACCAGGGGGACTCTGAAGAGTTCCGGAGAGTGAGTGGGGCAAGAACAACAGCATACTCAGGAGACAGAGACAAGAGCCAGGACTGACAAAGGTGATGACGAGGCAGAGAGGAGAAACAGAGTACCAGACACTGGAAGAGGGGTAATGGTCTTACTCTAGGGTTGAAAACTGCAACAGGAGTCACTTAGGTGCTGAGGTTCCCAGCACCCATGCAAAGTTACAGCACTAGCAGACACTGGCCATTGCTGTCGATGGAAGCTAAGGATTCCAGGAGCTGCCAGTGTTGTGGCTGCTGGTGGTTAAATTCCAGAATATTTAACCTCCAACTTCAGTATTTGGAGCCGTAAACCTCTGGCTTCTGAAGCATGGAGTGATAGGCCCCTGGCTTTCAGGAGACAGTTGTAAGCCTCTGGATCTGCCAGTCCATCCCATAAACATTGGGCATGTAAGGGCCAGGATTACTAGAGCTGGAGAATCGTCTCCTTGCCCAATCATGTGATCTGGGTAAAGCAGAATGACCCCAGCCAGCTGATTAGTAATAGAGAGGTCAGAGCTGTACCAAGTGCTGGGCTAATTAACATCTATGAAGAGTCTTGAGGAGCACAGACCAAAGGCCTCCCCCAGTCATATGCAACATGTCATTACTGGACACCCCTATTTCGCATGGCTTTACAATTAACCACCTTTATGCTGACTACACCTGCTCCTACCACTTCAGCTAAGCCCCACCTTCTTAAGCTGTCAAGCATTTAATTAACATTGGTTCTGCGTGCCAGAATTGAAATCATGCATGGAGGCCTTCAAATGGCCAGGAGTCCTCCAATTCTGGCTCCCCTCCCCTCTTTTCCCCTCCCCCAGGTAACAGGAAAACAAAAGAAAACCACCATCCTGGTCTCTAAGATGGGAAGTGGCACCTGCCTCTTGTGTATATTTAACAAGGGCAAGTTTCTTAACTACATGGAGTGACTTCACATGACAACAGCCATTAACTCAATTCACTGGAGGATACAGACAGAACTCAAAGTGTTCTCGGGAAGCCATATTGACAGGATGCAGAAACCAGGCTGAACAGAGGAACCAGAGAATGCACAAAATGTGTGGTCTGGGGGGAAGGGTCAAGATGGATTGATTTCTGCTTTTAATCTGTGATAAACAGACCTGTTTCTTGGGTGATGAGTAAGCAAGACACACTACAATAAATGGACTTCAAAGAAGACACACTCTCCAATATGTACCTGAGTTACCATTGTCTTCACTGTGACAAAGACACCAGAGAGAACTAACTTAAGCAAGGAGAGGTGTACTTTGGCGCTTGGTTTCAGAAGTTTCAGTTTTCGGCCATTTGGTCCCAAACACATGTACAGAATATCATGATGGGAAGAAGAATGTAGCCGAGGAGAGCTGTTCTTCACCACTGGGAGGCAAAGAGCAAAATGGGATTTTTGTGTAGCATTTCCACCAGTGGGGAAGATCCCTAATGTTCTGAAGGAAGGGTCCTTATGACTCAGGAAGTAGGGGCTGGAGAGATGGCCCCAAAGTTAAAAAGCACTTGCTGTGCTTGTAGAGGACATGGCAGCTTATAACCATCTGTAATTCTAGGTCCAGGAGATCTGGCACCCTCTATTGACCTCTAGGCACCAGACATACATATGGTGCACATACATACATGCAGGCAAAACACCCATGCATATACAAAAAAAAAAAAATGAATCTTAAAAAAAAGTCAGGAAGTAAACAATTGAAGAGCTTCAGGAAGTCCCTGAAACCAAACACACTAGGTTTTTCCCTCCCCAAGCTTATGTAAGCAGAAAGGAGTGATGAGAGACAACCCCAACAATCTGGAAGAGACTAACCAACCGAGCTACAGAAAAATACACATTTCAACTGTTGAGATGCCTGCAAATTGTGCGATAAGCTCTGGGTTTCCAGTTTTCAAGAGTTGTCTCTGAGGTGGTCTTTGATGATGTAGCTGTCTTTGGGTCATGCGGGGATGTCTGCAGTCTTCACGGGTAACAGAGAGATGAGCCACAGGAGGCTAGGAGACAGTTCAGCTTGACACGACTCAGTGGCCGAGTCTGAATCTGAGTTGTTTAGTTCGGGCATATTTAAACACAGCACAATTCAGTGAAAATTTTTCTTGTGATGATTAACTCAATTCCATGTGCAAAACAAAGCATGTCTAAATCTCTTTGAGAAACAAAACAAGCTAAATACAGAGAAGTGACTACAATGAACTCTTTGCAAGGCACATGTGACACCTTACCTAAAAAAGATAGTATCTATATATTGACTATATGTGATACATTCCGTAAAGATGAGTTCCATGGATTGACTAAGAAAAACCAGTTTACAAGAAGGGTCTGGAGGAGGGCGTGGTGCCAGAAAGTCTTCCGCCATTCTGATTGCGCAAAGGTCACCAGGCTAGAAATCATGTCCACTCTAGCCTTCTGGGTATAAAACAGGTTTTGCATTCCTTCCCCAAAAGGAACAACCCTTTTTGTTTAACATTCCAGATCCCCCTGTGCATGTCTGTGAGCACAAAAGCCTCCATGCCCCCTACGAGGTCATTTATGCTCCTGTAATAATGACCATTTGAAATTTATCCTGGATATACAAAGGTAGCCCTGTCATTGACAAAGGAAGGAATAAACAAAATACTACATATGCACACATAAACTATATTCAGCCATATAAAGTAACAGGATTCTGACATATGCTACCATATGGGTGGAACTTGAAGACATTATACTGTAAAATAAGCCAGATACAAAAGAATAAATTTGTGAGTTACTAGCATAGGTAAAGTCAGAATAAGTACTGGCTCTGTTGGTAGCAAGAAATGTATAGTCCCTCCCTGTAATTGCAGAGTTTCTGTTTGCAATGATATCAGTGTTTTAGGAACAGATGATAGTAATGTGTACGAAACATTGTAAATTAACACTAGTAAATTGTACACTTAACATGATAAACTTCCACTGGGTGTGATAGTGCATACCTTTGGTCTCAGCACCTGACAGGCAGAGGCAGACAGGTCTCTGTGAGTTTGTGAGTTCCAGGACAGCCAGGGCTATGTAGAG